AGGCGGAGGCGGAGCCGAGTCACTCCGCAGTTTGGGGCTCCGGTCCCCCGAGCCCGGCTGCACCTCGCTGCCTTCCGCTGCCATGCGGGGCTGCGTGCACGGATGAGAGAAGCAGCAGCCGCCGAGCTGGTCCCCCCTCCCGCCTTCGCCGTCACTCCTGCCGCCGCCATGGAGGAGCCGCCGCCGCCGCCGCCGCCGCCGCCGCCGGAACCCGAGCCCGAACCCGAATCCGAACCCGAGTGCTGCCTGGGGGCGAGGTGAGTGTGGCCGCCGCCGCCAACAGATTGCCGGACGCGGGTCCTGTTCTGGCCGGGGCACGGTCGGAGCTCAGGGGGCGTGGGGGCCTCTTCCCGCCAGGTTGTGAGGGAAGCATCCAGGCGCCGCGGGCAGGGGCCAGAGGGGGCGCGTGCAGCCCGGAGCGAGGGGCCGCGCCCGAGTGCGCCCAGGGACCCGGGGCCCGTGCCGCGGCGCCACGGGCTCTGCCCGAGCATGTGTGGCTGGCACTGCAGCTCTCGGGCGCGCACCCTGGAAGAGGGCTGCTTCGCCGGGTCGGCGGGGGTGGGACTGCCTTGCGGCCCCTTCGTCCGGTGGAAACTGGGGATTCTCTCTGCCCTGGGCGCCAGCTTCCAGAGAATGGGCACGCTGCAATGTGTCTCCTCACTGCTGCGCGCACACGGTACCTCTCCTCCGCCCCCATTCGAGTGACAGAGCGGACGCTCGGGAAGCGGGGACACTGGCCCCTTCCCCTTTCTTCTCCTTCCCCCCTCTTGCCCACCGTCGCATCGCCGAGAGTGCTGCCGTCCGACCCGGGACAAAGTGCACGGCCACAGGCAGGGGTGGGGCTCTTTCGGAGGCATCTTTACTGTCTCTGGGCAGTGGGGTTGTGCCGTGGTCCGGCACACGTGCACTTCAAGGAAGCATTGATTTTTCTATAACTTCGTTCCGGCGGGAAGCCTATAATGGAACTTTGGTACCCAAACCGTTTGTAGCATTCTCTTCCCTAGAGGCTCTATTAATTAATTTCGTGGTGCGCACTCGCTCTTTTTTAATTGAAAGAAGCTAAAGTCACCATAATTAAATAAGAATTTTCTTTTTCTTACATATCTATGTTTGTGTAGGGGCTCTGATAGCGTAGTGCCTAAGGCTAACCAGCCTGCTAACCAGAATGCTGGCGGTTCAAACCCACCAGCCACTCCTGGGACGGAAGACTGGTTAATCTACTTCCGTTACCGTTTCAGAAACCCAAGGAGGGGTTTCTTTGAGTCGGATCCACTCGACGGCAGTGAGTTTTTTTTTTTTTTTTTTTAAACTTTTGTGTGTTCGAATATCGTCTTACGTCCTGCCCTTTGCGTCCCAGAGTAAACTTGCACACTGCTGCCCCCTGTCCCCTAGGATGGAAACACTTTTAGGGCTCCTGTTCTTGCACCCCGTGGGCTTGCTCCCTGTGGAGTTCACGGACAAGGTGGAATAGGGTGTCCTTTTTTTTTTTAATGGTTAAGAAAGTTTTAATTTATGTAGATGTAGTTAGGACTGCACACAGGAACCACATTCGTGCCTGTCATGCTCTGACTGGACTGAACTGTTGTATTTTTATAAGCAGTGAAGATGGTTGCCTTGTTTTCTTTAATTCTAAGATACTTCTGAGAACTGTTAAGGCACAACTTCTCTAAATAATGGTACAATGTGTAACGTGAATTCCTTTTGTAACTTTCTAGAAGTTTTGTCAGAAAGTGTATAAATTTGTTAATTCGATTTTTGAGAAATTTTAGAGCCTTTAAGTTTTTCTTTTAAAACAGTAATAACAGCAAACACCTCTTAAATGCTTAGTATGTACTGTTGCTTTTATCTCTACTAACTCATTTAATCCTGACAACCACCTTTTGAGGTGTAGGTCCTGTCATCTGTAGTTTACAAAGGAGGAAACGGAAACACAAAGGTTAGAATCTAGCCCAGGAGTCACAGCTAGTAGGTGAGCTCAGATCTGGCTCCACCATGAAGAAGAGGTATGATTTCCTTGTCCAGATGGGCAGATCAGAAGCTGTAATTCCATCTAAGTATACTTTGGGAAAAAATAGACATGTACATTCTTAGGTCAAATAAAAAGGGCAGAGAGAAATGGAAATGCACTATAAGAATGACTGCTTTTTGAACGATCAAAGGAAACCTTGATTTTTCAGCCAGGTTTCTGTCTGCCTTTGTTATAACAAAAATAGGTCAGGATAATGGCCTTCATCCAGTTTAAAGTGAACAGCAGTGTATGGAACAAGAAGATCTTAGAAATATTTTTCTTAGCAACATGCAATTAATTTTACAACAGCAACTCTGCAAAACAGATTACTTGACAAAGCTGTTTCTCTTTTTATGTCCCCATTGTCACTACTTCCTTTTCAATACATAGAGCTGGCCTGTGACAAACTAATTGTGGGTCATTGATTTTCAAACATCCCTACAAGATGCTTCAGGGGTTCTGCAGTTGTTTCTCTCAATTTATTTTTTAAAGACACTCAGCATGCATGCTTAGAATGTGCTGAATGCCACATGTTAACACATTGGAGACCAGCAATGTGATCATTTATGTCACCAGGATAATTGGTTTGTGAAAGACTGGACTAAAGCGATGTCTGCCATCTTTGTTCATGTGCTTGGCATAAATGTGTCGTTGCTTAGAAAGGTGGTGTGAATGCACAGGTCTTTTGTAGAATTCAGGCCTGCACATGTTGACCTACAAAGCTACGCAGCAAGTACAGGATGAGAGCAGATGTCAGCGCAGCACATCTGCTGGGTGC